ACATGATCTGATCGACATGCTGCTGGAATCGGGATGATGCCTCTCCGATCGTTTTATCTGGAGAGGGTGTTTTAAAAACAAACGTTGATCTTCTGTAGTGGAACTTCTCCGGCTGGTCGGCCCTACGCTCTTTTTGTCTTTACGTGACGCATTGCTGCTGCTCTGAGTTTACAGCCGTGTCTTGCGTTCGGTATGCTGCAGCAAGGCGTGTATCTAGGAGACTGTCAGTGGCCTCTGATATGATATGATATGATATGATATGATATGATATGATGGCCGTGATATGAACTGTGTCATATCGCTTGGTACTGGAGCCAATCCATCCTTGATAAACACATGCGAATGAGTAAGTCGTGTAGTGCGGTATAGGCGAGACAGAGCCGGTGTCAGCCGGGTCGGCCGTCGTCCAGCCACATTCCTCTGAGCCGTCATCTGCACCACTCGCCGGCTGACCTTGACCTGAGGTCGGCAGGGTCGGTCGTTACCGGCGGGCGCGGTACGCTCTCGCCTCTCGCTCCCAGCTGCCCCTCGCCGGCCCCGCCCTCGCCGTTCTCTCCCTGCGGTCTGTGGTCTGTGGTCTGGTCTGTGGTCTGTGGTCTGCATTCCGCTCCCGGACGGAGAAGGGGCGCTGTGTGGCGCCGGGCACACGGTGATGGAGTGGAGCTTTTGGGCCGAGTCGCGGGCGCCCCATGTCAGAGATGGGCTGCGTCTCGGATGCATTTGACTGGCGCGGCGACGCTACACTGTCTCAGTTGCACTATCCAGTATCCAGTGTCCAATCCCCGTGTCATGAGGTCGACCGGAAGCCTGGTGACAGGTGATGTGACCTCTGACTCGACTCGGGATATGACCTGAGGGCAGTGTGTACCCACTGTCAAGCTGTCTGTCCTTGCTGACGTCGCACCACGATGCTTGGGGGCGGGCCTGTTGAGTTGTTGACAGTTGACGCAGTTTGGCCATGGACGCTGCGTCACGCTGGTATCGCCAGCGGTTGAAGAAGAGCTGCCTCAGGTATGTCGGCAGTATGTAACAACAGGCCTCAGGGTAGCTGAGCACCACTCGGCTGTGACAGACCGGAGTGGCTCGAGTCTCGGGCGAGGCTCGTCCTCGCCGCGACGCGTGTCGTCACCGCACTGAGGACGCCGGCGCCGCTTTTGTCGGCCGATTTGCGGCATTTCTCGGCGCTCTGGCGCGTATCGCGCCGCCGCTGATCGGGTGTGATCTCAAGGCCTGGGGCACGTCCCGATCGGACCATTTCCGTGACTGTGGTTGGATTGGGACAGCTGGCGGTGGCGCGAAATTGATGAGGTGTTTCTGATGACACCGGGAAGCGCCGCCACCCGCCGCGGCGGCTGTTAGTGGCACCAGATCAGCGGAACGACGCCCCCTGACCGTGAGCCCGGGCTGGGATGTGGCGATGGGTGTGCTCTGGTGTGTCCCCCAGGACCCGGCTGTGGCGCCAGGTATGCTCTCTTCGCCGTGCCCTCCATTGGGTGTTCTCTTTGAGGCCGATCCGGCCCGGCTGGGGCTGACTGGATCCGGCAGCCTCTCCGCGGCGGCCGGGAGCAGCCCATTTGTTACCCGCCGTCCGTTGGCCCTACCGATTACATAGAGTGTGGTCGGGGAGAATGGCCGGATAACACACCACATCCGGCTTGGCTAATGCAGAGCGGACGCCATTGCTTCCATGCACCTTCATTGTTGCAGTGGGATCCTAAAGGCGCGTTCACTGTTTATTCACATCCCATTACTAAGCTCTGTCGGATATAAGTTATATGTGGCCGTGTTGGGGCTGATCTCTTTTTCTTTTTACACCTGTGGCCTCTTTTCCTCGCCTGTTGATTGACTGGCTGAGAAATTTTCTCCAACAGCAGGGACCTCGTATGTTGCGCTATCGCCCCTAAACCGTGTCAACAATGGTGAGAATAGTGGCATGTGTGGTAATGGAATTTAATGAATGTGGTCGTTGCTTGTCAACATGCGTGAGAATGACCTCACAATGAGATAATGTTGCGAATTCTGACAGACGCGGCGGCGGGGTGACCTGCTTCACTCTTTAGATCCTTATCCCGTCGAATAGCTACTGACCCTGGCCGTCTGGTGCCCCCTCTGCCAGGAACCCCGCCAAGGTCGGTTTTTAGCGCGGACGCGGTGCTAAGTTATGGATAGCGCTCCATGCCGGTCGTGTTCTCTATGACCGTGATCGGGCCGATAGCGCCCGGGCCGACCCCGTCTCCGGGTGGTGAACCATTATCCAGACCTGACGGTATACCACTGCCCAGACCTTGTCTCCGGTTGGCGAACGACTGCCCACACTCGGTCTCGGTGTGGTAAACCACTGTCCACTGTCCAGACCCCGTCTCTGACGGTTTGCGACTGTCCGGCGCTGGTCTCTGGAAGGTAAACCATTATCCTTTCCTGTCTGTGATGGTTTACCACGTTGGGTGGCCGGTGCGGACTGTCGATGCCGTCTCCGGGCGGCTTTCTTAGCTCGACCATAGCACCTGTGTAGTGATGACGCGCCGCGCTGGGCCCGTGTGCTCCCCGACACACGGCCCTCAGGCCCTGTCCGACTCCTCAGTGTGTTGGTGTCTGCCGGCCCGTGCCCCGCCCGAGGCGGGCTCGTCTGTTGGAGTGTGCCCAGTGATGCAACGTAATCATGCCGTCTGAGTCGTCCGGAGTTCCCATGAATCGCCGCCGTCGGGGGCTTTTGTACACAGGGCCATGCATATGTATGCTCGGTGATTGGCGGGATGCGTTGTCAGACATCGTTCTCCGTCGAATGACGTCACTGTTCGTGTCAAATCGGGCGCTGACGGATGTGCTTCCCGACCTTCGTTCGGGTGAAGATGTGTCGGAATATGAGAGGTGCTGATGTCAGCTCCGAACAACGAGCATGTAACGTTGTAGTGTGGGGGTGGATAGGTGAAGCCCGGTTCCTAGTGTCGACGTGGCGCATGTGGCTATCGCTTATGCAGTTTGGCAATGTATTACTATTTAAGGATAGCACAATGTTGTCCTTGAGTCATTTATCAATATTGTATGCTAAGATTTACTTTCAATTCAATGTCCTGACCTCGTTCCATGCCATACCATGAACATTTACATGGTGTCGAACACAGGCTGTTGACTATCAAACACCTCTTATTGTCCCTTTGTAGAACAAACAAAAGCAACACTGTTCTGCCGAGCCGTGTCGTGCCCGTTCGTTTCTGTACTGCGGCCTTGAGGAACGGCCAGGTCGTCGCCTCTGGTGTAATGTTGTGAATACGCTCCGCCGGGCCGTTCCATGAATAACTGACCCGTCTGAAGCGTCACCCACGCTCATTATTGCGCGACCTCACGCTGTTGAGAAGTGGTGTGTCACTGCTCCGCCGTCTGGCGCTGTGTTCGGTCGTGACGGGGATCGGCGCGGCGCCGAACGAACGTTCAGAGAGAGCCGGCGCCGGCCGCTCGCCATCACTGCTGTGTCGCCCGCCGACTGGCGCCGTGGCTGCCCGCTGCCACCGCTGAGCAGTCAGTTGACCCTGACACAGACGCGATGATCACCTAATGATGTCAACCGGGCAGAGGCCCGATACATCTCACTGGCTCCGTACTGACTTGTCCTCTGTTATTTACCGCCAGCATAAATAATCTGCCCCGTTCTATCCTCAAGTCATTCCTTATCGAGGTAACGCATGGAGTATTCTACAGTCCAGAGTCATTCACTGTCGAATCACCTCGTGTGATATAACTGGTGCGCTTTCAGATGTTGCCACAACTGTCGATGATAGCAATTTTGGAATGGGGAGTTTTGCCACGAAATTAATAAATGAAGTATGAATAAATGAATCAAAATAAATAGGCGAATAGATAGATGATCCGGCTTGGTCACGGATCACTTTGTTCAATTATTACCAGTGATTGCCATACTCGTATTATTTATGTGCTGGTCGCTGCTGCGTTTCATAACCCGAAGAGGCGCTGTGTTTTTATCAACTACCCTAGCTGGCGGCTGGCAGTGTGATGCAAATTGGCAACTTCAATAGATTTTATCACTTGCTGGCTGACACTACAATGGTGCAGCCTTTGACGCCCTTTGCTTATGGCACTCATCTAGGTTAAAGCCTATGATTTTATAGCCATTAAATTTTATTTACTTCGGAGCGTATTGCACGCTTGGATTCATGTCTCCCTGTGACGTAAGATGTGTCGTTGAGTTCGATAACCAGACGATGCTAGACTGACTTTCATGGCCAACTGAGAGCGGAGCTCTGCCCTCCTCTCTGACCCCTGGGGTCGCTACGGCTCAGACCGGTAAGGGGGCCATGCCAGCGGCGACCTGACCCGCCCGGCGCCCCTACCCTGCTCTGTGTCATCGCGTGGGTCACGCCCCGGCCGCCGGGGCACCGACCTCGCCGGCGGCGGCCGCCCCCGAGCCCCGGCGGAAACGCGTCACTGCCACCGCCGCCGCGCTGCACCAAAAACGCCGGCAAATGGCTCGCGAGACGCGGCGCGCGGCATTGTGGCGCGGTGCCGACGGCGGCGGCGGCCATTCTAATCAGCCGGCGCGCGTAATCAATGAGCACGGCCGGCGGCGGCGCACGCTGTGTGGTCGGAGGGGAGCGACCCCGTCCGTCCGTCCGGGCCCGGATTGTCTGTTCTCGTAGCAGACAGACCGCAGACGAGCAGCCCCGTCCCTCCGTCCCCCTGACGGTCTGTCAGACGAACTGTTTTGTCCATCTGGCCCCCGACAGTCCGTATTCGACTGACGGTGGGACGCACACAGACTGACTTCTGGTGAACGACAGAACATTTTGGAAAATGAATTAGCAACTTCGGAAATGAAATGTGTTATGCTCATTTTCAATTTTTACCGCTAGTCGATACTTTTTATCTTTGCTCGTCAGAGAAGATACCCTAAATCCACTTGGCGATGCTCTGACCTCTGACCGGCGCCCCGGGGTCGTTTCCATGTGACTGCCACTGACCCCTCTGTATCCTCCTTCTGTCCACAGGCCACAAGCAGCACGAGTGGACCTCGTGGTCCTGTATCGACGCCGTGTTCCCGTTTCTGGAGCAGCGTCTGCAGCAGCGGCGAAAGGCCGCGGCGCCAGCGACACCCACGGAGAATCAGGGCGGTGATGACGAGAAGAAACAATAACGGGCTGTGAACGTGCTTGGAGAATGGCGGAGACAGTGGACAGTTGGTGAAGCCGGTGAGCGCTTACTGAACGGGGCGGCAGACAGTAGAGGGGCCAGTAAGCACGCTGTTTCCCGCCTCTAAGCGCTCCGCTGTGCACAATGTCTCCACTGTGATGTGATATGTCGGACGGGGCTCTGTTTTCGCCGGGGGTGATGCTCTGAAACTATGCAGAACATTCCCACACGTTTGCTAGACTTGTCGCAGTGATGAAGAAGGCGCTTTCTTGTGTGCATTGTACTTGATACGACTGCCTTTATTCGCCAGTTCCTGTTGAATAATTTTACACCAAGTGATGAACCGCGAGTTTTTTATCGCGATTCAAGAGAGTTGTCAAGACGTCAACACTAACCATTGCTGCCTCGAATCAGCAATGCCAGTTTGTCCAATGCTAATAGCGTTGGTAAATGGTTGATATTCCTCGATCACTTTAAAACTGGCGGAGTGGAATATGTCAACAGCGTTTTTGTTCATGGCAGCTTATTAAATATTAGTGGCTCATATCCCGTTCTCTCCGGGTAAGATAATTTCTACAGCAGTGCTGATTGCCCCGTTGTTATTATTTTATAGAACATGCAATGTTACAATAATGAGGTCTGCATTTCTACTTCTGACTTTGATTAAGTATAGTCTCTCTCTCACTCTCTCACTCTGTTTCGCCACATTTCCCTCATCCCTCTGTGCTCACATCATATACCTGCCTGGCGTGAATGCGTCAGGTAGTGACCGGTCAAGTAAGGCGAGTTGTTAGATAGGATAGGACCAGCTCTGCCTCACACTCCGCATACCCAAACAGGGTTTCATTTTTTCAGGGGCCCGGGAACGATTTTCAAGTTGGGGGGGGGGGGGCGAGCCTAAAATACCTGACATGATGCATATGAAACAGTGGCGTAGCTAGGGGTCTAAGGGGACACGTATCCCCCCCCCATCGGGTTCAAAGGGACCCTCGAGTCCGAGAGGCCCAGCGGCGCCATTTGACCGCTGAGGGTTAACGATGGCCATATTTCTACTCAGAAGGGCCCATGGGGCTCGTTATAGCACCTCATGGGCCCTAAATAGCCACACTAAGGTCTCCATAAGGGCCCCACGCCGGCTTCTGAGGGCCTCTTGCGACTTTTAAGGACACCTCGGTGGTCTCCAAAGGCCCGTTACTGGCCTCTGAGAGGTCTTACCGGCCTATGAGGGGACAGTTCTAGGGGCATTTCCCGCCTGTGATGGTCCCACACTTATTTTTCTGAGGGTCTCATAACGGCAACTATGGGGCCCTCGCCGGCGCCTATGAGGGCTCACACTAGTGATGTCAATTACGGAAAATCGAAATACCGATACCAAACCAAATACCAACTAAAACCTTGGGGAAATACCGAAACCAAACCAAGTTGGGAAAATGAGGGAAATACCAACTTTTTACCGATTTCTTAGCCTCTTATACATTAGTGAGGGTTCATCATACCGACAAAATACCAAACACATTACGATTGAAATACCAAATACCAAGTTGGTATCGGTTTGGTATCGGTATACCAAAAAGTTCGTATACGATTGACATCTCTAGCTCACACCGGTGTCTCTAAGGGTTTCACACCCCCCAACTCCGAGTGCCTACACCAGTGCCTGGCTATATCGGCGGCTCTGAGGACCCATCCAACACCTGCGCATCTAAAGGCCACCCACTGGTGACTTTTAAGGGCCCCACACCGTTGACTCCACCGAAGACGCCGGAGGGCCCCACCGGCGTCTGACAGTACCATGCCGGCCTCTACGAACCCCGCAGGACTTCTTCTGCCGGCCTAAGGACCCCCTGCCGGTCACTGAGACCCCTGCCGGCTTGTAGACAGTTCGCGTCAGCAGCTCTATTGGCCCCACACCCGTCTGTAACGGCTCTACACCAGCGTCTATGAGGGCCCGGAGCAACGCCTGTAAGGACCCTCATCGGCGCCTCTGAGAGAATCACACTAGCACCTCTGATCGCCCACACCGGCACCTGCATGGCGGCCCCACACCGGTGCCTCTAAAGGCCCCTTACCGGCGGCTCTGAGGGCCCTACGCCGGTGATTCTGAGGGTGCCACCGATAACTGAAGGCACCACACAAGCCCTTAGTGTCGCTGAGCTTTAATCCCATACCGACCCTCCGAGGGCGCCACGTCAGTGCACTCACTGCCCCACACCCCTCCCTCACACCCGGAGCGGGTAAACTGTGTTATACCTATAGCAACGATTTTACCACCGTTGTACGTTATGTATTTCTCAAAGTTGACTCAAAATGGTCCGGTACAAAATCTGGCCTGCCAAACTTATGGCCAAGGTCAGGCCCAAATCAAAGCGGGAGGACAATAGCAGATGTTGTCAAATCGATACTGTATCAGCAGAAACCATTCAGATCAGGGATGCGGAGCCGTGGAAATTTCAGACGGCTCCGGCTCCGGCTCCGGCTCCGGAGAAAAAAAATCGGCTCCGGCTCCGGCTCCGGCTCCGGGTGAAATGTCATGGCGGCTCCGGCTCCGGCTCCGAGTAAAATGATCCGGCTCCGGCGGCTCCGGCTCCGGCTTCGGCGGCTCCGGCTCCGGCTTCTACTCAGTACATCCCCTATGCGATCAATACGGGTGGAAGAAAAAAGGCGATGGGATTGGTACACGTTGCTTCTGTATTTGTATAACAAGGCTATTTTGAATACCACATTATTTTACGCCTTGTACTGTCAAACCGAACTAGGTAAATAATTGTTTCCTCTTAAGAAAAGGAGCCGGAGTCGCCCCCTTTTTTGACGGCTCCGGCTCCGGCTCCGGCTCCTGGCTATATTGTTTCACGGCTCCGGCTCCGGCTCCGGGCAAAATATGCCGGCTCCGGCGGCTCCGGCTCCGGCTCCGTCTCCGGCTCCGCATCCCTGATTCAGATGGCAAGGAAAATGCCGTGTGTTGATGTTTAGATGTATGAAGGAAACAAGAAGGAAAGAAGTCCGGAAAAGTGAGGAAAGATCTTTTCTCGCTGCCTCAATGTTGAGGGGGCGCCGCCCCCTCGGCTCTCAAGTTGGGGGGGGGGGGGCAAGCGCCCCCGCTGCCCCCCCCCCCCCCCTGTTCCCGGGTCTATGCATTTTTTTCTCGGTGCCTTGGTCGCTGAACAAAGTTGTAGACACCTTTTTTCTGGACCTCCCGTTGTACGAACTGAATAATGAAACACGAACAAAACAAAAAATAGATAGAACCGACTTTTAAACTGTTCCTCACGTGCCAGCAAAAAGCTTTGAATTACCCCCAAAATGTTGCGGGTCTGACCTTGACAGTTTTTGTGCGTCGGCTTGGTGCCTTTATGGAGGGCCACCCGCCAATCGGTCCCATCCTGTTATGGAGCGCTGGTGCATGACAAAGGCACCCCGAGTCGCTCAGTGTTGGAGAGTGTCAGGTCAGTGGCCCCACCTTCCTACAGGGTCCCGCAGGCACTGGGCACTGGGCAGTGTCCTTGGTGTGCGGTGGGGAGCAATAGGGACGGAGTGAGGGACAGGGCTGTGGGTCTATGTCACATGGAGGATGGTAGGCAATCGGAGGGATCCAGGACAGGGCGGTACTGTCCACTCACACTCGACTCATTTCACTTGACACTTCACTCACTTGACGTGCAGTGGTGGCGACTGGTGGGATTGTGTGGCCCTATGTTTCACTGATACTGGTGGTCAGCGGTAGCGACAGGGTTGGATGGTGTGGGTTTATGAGTATCTGCGAATGATACGAGGTATTCAGCGGTGGGGAGCAAGGTATCACAACTCGGCGGGCTGTGACTCTGACACACGTCGAGCCGTCATCATAAACAGGTGGCTTTCCTCCCGGCCGCACCATTCTCCCGGGGACAGTTTAGGCTCAATGTAAGACCCAAAGGATCGGGCCGTGCCCCCCCCCCCCCAGTTTCAGGCATTAGCCTCTTCGCTGTGACTGCTGGCTCGTTGTCCCCCCCCCCCCCCCATGGGAACTGGTTTGAGGATCTTTGTCGGATTCAGCACTGAGCACTCGATAAGTTCTGCCGATAATTGTAGACAACACTGCGGCTAGATGGTTCGGTATTGATTCTTTTTCACACAAACTGATGTTAATACCACAATGATTAACGTTAACAAGCTATCGACTAAAAGATAACGAGCTGCCTCGCTCATCCCAAGACTAGGCTAGCACGTTATTTATTGAAGTGACACTGTAACCCTGGACATGCGCACGGTCCGTGAAGATGGGCAGGAAGCGCAGCTCAATTATGGATGCTTTGAATTACTAGGGGCCCTGTGAGCTGCTCATACACCATGTCATAGCCTGGTGCTGGAGGCATTGCCCTATTTGAGTTTATGTTTGGATGCCATTGGCTGAGCACTTGCCACGAACAGTCTATTGCTGTTTACGAGCGAGCGAGCGCAGCGAGCGAAGTGAGTCTTTTCAATATAACGGAAAAATCTCAGTATGAGCGGCCCGGCCCGGCCCGGCCCGGCCTGTAACGCTTTTGAGAGGCTTATATCTCAGCAACCGCTGGACCGATTGGCCTGCGGTCTTTTTTGTTGGGTAGCCCCATCCCTTCTACCCCGTAATTGACTACTTTTGATACATCTCAGTGACCGTCGTGGCACGTGCCACGTGAAAAGTCAAGGGTGTTCAAGCTGTTTTGCAAAAGTAGTGATTTTGAGAGGCTCATATCTCAGCAGCCGCTTGGGCGATTGACTTGCGGTAATTTTTGTAGGGTAGCAGCATCCCTTCTACCCAAAATAGGATACTCTCGATGCATGTGGGTCACCCCCAGTGCACGTGCAAAATACAACAATAAGAGGTGCCAAATTTGTTCCCATTTCAGTAACTCGGTAATTACTGGGGCGATTTCGCTGAAACTTGGCATACAGGTAGGCACCCACCAGGCAATGCATTCCCATGTGTTGCGGTTAGGGTGCTACTGCACGTGCGCACGTGCAGGGGGCGTTTCCAGATCTCGAGAACGGCTGGGCCGATTGCGCTCAAATTTGGTACACGGTTGGGGACCAGTTAGTAGGGTGCCGTGCAAAAGTCATTTTGGACCCCGTTTGCACGTGCGCACGTGCAGAATGCCGCTTCCAGATCTCAGGAACGGCTGGGCCGATTGCGTTCAAATTTGGCACACCGCTAGCGACCGGTTAGAAGGGTGCTTTGCGCAAGCCCGTTGGAAGCACCCTCTCGCCCTTCCGCACGTGCAGGGCTCACTATCTCGCTCGCTCGTTCTTCGCCCAAAAGGCGTTTTACTGGTAATAAGACTGGTTGAAATAACTAGACATTAAACGCAAAAAGGGTACGACACGATA